ATCTGTCATTTTTTATTTCTTTCTCTCTGACATTTTCAATATCAGTTTGTGAATTATTATTTTTCAAGTCTTCATGAACATTCACCCGCATTCTAGTCTGAATCGGCTTTTGTTTGTAGGCAGATGTGCCTAACAGGCACATTTTTTGGCACAGCAATTTCCCAGAATTACGATGCGTTTTTAAAAATTTTGTTTGCAGTGAAACTTGCACAGTTTTTTGCACGCCCTTTTAGCACACGCTTTTTTCCCTGCCTGCCACTTGGCTGGGTTGCAAAACTCAGAGAAGTGTGGATTTTGAAGGGTGTCTGTTTTTCTGTTGGCGTCTTGTTCTGGAAGGTGTGTTTCCTGTACGTTCGCCTTTAAATGTGACCCGAATAAAATTTATTCTCAGTCCCTGGTTCGGATCGCAGTTAAGAGATGGAAGTGAATTCTTGAAGTAATAAATTTTATTAGTTTTCACAATTTCAAAGCATACATACATACATACATACATACATACATACATCCTGTTTAGATCTTGGTAACATTATTAAGTGACTTCCTCAAACCCCCTTGGTTGAATTTCATTGTATCTCATTTTTAACAGTTTTCCAAAATAAATTTTCTCAAAAAATTAACTTGGTCACTTAACCTCTTTCGTTCTTTCTAGTTTGACATTAAACATCTTAAATCTTGCCCTTGCATATTTAACTCCTAAGCCTATCTATTTATTTGCAAGCTCTTCCAGTTAAGTTATCTTAACATATTTAACTAAGTAGTCTTTAAATTTCGTCCATTCTTCCTGGTACTCCTCCTCCTCCTGGTCGTGGACTCTTCCGGTCAGGTCGGCTAGCTCCGAAAAATCCATCATCTTCATCTGCCATTCTATTGTTGGTAATTCTTGAGTTTTCCACATTTTAGCTAATACGAGCAGCAGTTGTGGCATACAAAAATAATTTAACATCTTTCTTGGGCATTTCCAAACCTATTATTCCAAGAAGAAAGGCCTCTGGTTTCTTAGTAAATGTATATTTCAACATTATCTCCAGTTCATTATAAATCTTTTCCCAGAAGTCTTTCGCCTTGGGACAAGTCCACCACATATGATAAAAGGTACCCTCCTTTTCTTTACATTTCCCACATAGATTTTCACTGTTGTGGTAAATCTTTGCTAACTTTATAGGGGTCAAGTACCATCTATACATCATTTTCATTATATTTTCCTTTAACATTGTACATGCAGTAAACTTGACCCCTTTCCTCCACAACCTTCCCCAATCTTCAAACATTATACAGTGGTACCTCAGGTTAAGTACTTACCGTATTTTTTGCTCTAAAAGACTCACTTTTTCCCTCCTAAAAAGTAAGGGGAAATGTGTGTGCGTCTTATGGAGCGAATGCAGGCTGCGCAGCTACCCCAGAAGCCAGAACAGCAAGAGGGATCGCTGCTTTCACTGCGCAGCGATCCCTCTTGCTGTTCTGGCTTCTGAGATTCAGAATATTTTTTTTCTTGTTTTCCTCCTCCAGAAACTAGGTGCGTCTTGTGGTCTGGTGCGTCTTATAGAGCGAAAAATACGGTGATTCGTTCCGGAGGTCCGTTCTAAACCTGAAACTGTTCTTAACCTGAAGCACCACTTTAGCTAATGGGGCCTCCTGCTGCCGCCGCGCCACCAGAGCATGATTTCTTTTCTTATCCTGAAGCAAAGTTCTTAACCCGAGGTACTATTTCTGGGTTAGCGGAGTCTGTAACCTGAAGCATATGTAACCTTAAGCGTCTGTAACCCGAGGTGCCAATGTATTATGTCCCACATAAGAGATGGAAGTGAATTTTTGGGTCTGTCTGAACGACTCTTGTGGGAGAATCCCGTTCAGCGACTTCCTTTTCTTCTTTCTACCTGACATGTTTCTGCTTCAATCCTGACCCCCCCCCCAGCACCTTCAGCTGTGTTGTTATATTAGCTTTACACCTTTTTCGGTGCAAAGGGCAAATGACAACGTTAAAAGATTAGTTTGTGTCATAAGCTTCCTATTTTTCGAGGCCGCTACAAGATTTAGGGGGGCTTATCTGGTGGGATTAAAAGCCAATGTTATCTTCCTTAATGCCACTTAGTGGCCTAGATCCGAGATTTTCATTAAACAGCATCAGGAACAATTAGCAGGCAAGCAATTAAGGCCAGGCCTTGCGGGTGTATGTGTTTTTAAATAAAAACGGAGGCTTAGGCAATCAAGCAAATCGGTTTCTGCATTAGGTCTCCAACAACGTCGCCCCCCCCTGCCGCCCCCCAACGTAAATTGGGAGACTGAAACTAAGCCCCATATGTATTTGCATCTTGTGGGTCCAATGCGTGCAAAATGAAACAAAAGGTTCAGAAACACAGTTAAAGGATATACAGTGGTACCTCTGGTTACGAAGGGGATCCGTTCCGGAGCCCCGTTCGCAGCCTGAGCGGAACGCAACCCGCGTCTGCGCATGCACGGATTGTGATTCACCACTTCTGCGCATGCGTGTGATGTCACTTTGCACGTCTGCGCATGCATGAGCGGTGAAACCCGGAAGTAACCCTTTCAGGTACTTCTGGGTTGCTGCGGGACGCAACCTGAAAAGGCGTAACCTGAACCGAACGTTAGGTAAAGGTAAAGGGACCCCTGAGCATTAGGTCCAGTCATGGCCGACTCTGGGGTTGCGGTGCTCATCTCGCTTTACTGGCCGAGGGAGCCGGCGTCCAGCTTCCAGGTCATGTGGCCAGCAGGACTAAGCCGCTTCTGGCGAACCAGAGCAGCACACGGAAACGCCGTTTACCTTCCTGCCAGAGTGGTACCTATTTATCTACTTGCACTTTGATGTGCTTTGGAACTGCTAGGTTGGCAGGAGCAGGGACCGAGCAACGGGAGCTCACCCCATCGCGGGGATTCGAACCGCCGACCTTCTGATCGGCAAGTCCTAGGCTCTGTGGTTTAACTCAGAGTGCCACCTGCGTCCCGTGAACCGAACGTTACAAGATTGTAAACAACAACAACCCAACAACTGTTACTTTGGACACGGTTTATTGTAACAGAATCACAGAATTAGAGCTGTAAGGGACCCCAAAGGTCATCCAGTCTAATCCCCCTCCCCCTGCAATGTAGGAATCTGTTTGCCCGACATGGGGCTCAAACCAACGGCCCCAAGATTAAGAATCTCATGCTGCTTTGAGGAAAGGTTGAAGGGACTGGATGTACTCTGTCTGGAGGTGAGAAGACTCCAAGGGTAAGGATGACAACACAATTCAGAACCCCTTTCCCATTTACCGTATTTTTCGCCCTATAGGACGCACTTTTTCCCCTCCAAAAGTGAAGGGGAAATGTGTGTGCGTCCTGTGGGGCGAATGCAGGCTTTCGCTGAAGCCTGGAGAGCGAGAGGGGTCGGTGCGCACTGACCCCTCTTGCTCTCCAGGCTTCGAGCAGCTCTCCGCAAGCCTGGGGAGACCGGCGCAACTTCCCGCCGGGCTCCCTAGGCTTGCGGATAGCAGCCTGCATCCCGAAGCCTGGGGCGCGCTGAGCAGCCTGTTCTGGGGCCTGGGGTCGGGGGAAGCTCGGGCTTCCCCCGCCCCAGCCCCGCGCCTGGGGGGAAAATAATTTCCCCCCTTTATTCCCCCCCCAAAAAAACTAGGTGCGCCCTATGGGCCGGTGCGCCCTATAGGGCGAAAAATACGGTATTTATTTTTAATGCAATACTTGGGGTTGTACCTGACTTAAGCCATATTCAGAGCAGAGCAAATGAAATCAATGGGTTTGATTGACGAGCATGAATTGAAAAATCAATGGATGCCAGTCACACCCATTGATTTGACTGGACCAGTTTGGGGAAGGCAGTGGACGGGGAGCTATGTTGTGGCTCATAATTAGAGGGAATGAATTCCTCCGGCAAGCAAATAACTTTTAATTCTCCCACCCCCACCCCAGCTTTCATGGCATCTAGAAGCACAAAAGCCCCCAAACTTATTTATTTCTCTTCAGTTCCTTACCTCTCTCTCTTGTTTGCAATTCCCAAACCAATTGCTGAGGAAACATTACCTTCGGAAGGGTTAACTTCGCCTGCAAATTTCGTCCACTTCTGATCAAACATTTAGGTGTTTTTCTTTTAAGGTTCTCAGCACAAAAGCCCCTGAGCCTTGTTTACCTGTAATTTGCTCTAGCCATTCTGGAGGCTTGGGAATTGCTTCTGTCAAAATGTTATAGCCTACCCCACCCAAACATTGCCCAATAGTGATTTGTGGGAGAACGAAGCAGACCGGGATAGAGTCTGAATGAGTCTCGCACGGAAGCAGCCTGTTTTCTGAAGCGACAACCCTGCAGTCAGGGCACAACACTAGTTTATGCATGCACACCTCACAAACCCCTTTCCATCCTTTCTCTAGGGAAGGAAGAAGCATAATCCTAGTTCAATGACATATTCTAGCCAGGAAAAGGGATCTGAGGGGGCTGCAGAGCACAGCCAGTGTGAGGTGTGGTCAAGTCAGGGGTGTGTGGCCAGCGGCGGGGATGTGCATGTTGCAATTTACAGTTCCTGACCTGCATGTATGAAAGGGTTAACTGGAGCCCTGTGTTCAAGTTACCCAAGTGGGAGTGGCTTAGGCTCTCAGCAGCCTCTGGCTCCTCTTTCTCAGTCTTTAACAAGCCAAGTGAACTGAAACTCTCAACAAATGAGATTTTACAGCCTGCATCTTTGCTAACCAAAAGTTTGTGGGATGCTTTTTTGTAAGTAAACCATGTGCTTTTCCCATTTAATTCATTTGAAAACTTTTTTTTTATTATTCATTTCACTGCCAGGAGATAGAGATATGTTTGGTGCAACATCTGGGGACTCTGTGAGTAAAACATTCCATTTTGTTGTTGTTGTTGCAAAGTTAAGTGTCTGTGATTTATTCTAGCCTAAGCCTTTTTCGTGAGGAATATTTGTTTAAAGATGGGCACGGGCAGATGCAAACCTAACCAAGTTTTAATGTGCTGGGGGCAATCGCCATTATGCTTAACTCTGGAGAGTAGGAATATCTCCTCCAAACCTCTCTCTCCAACAGTGTGGCCTGGGGAGAACCTTTCAGCCCAGGCCTCCTCCATAGAAGCAGCACCTAAAAAGATTGTCTTTTCCATGAACCATCTCTGATGCAGATGCTGCTGGTGGACGCAAGCTGGAGAAGGCGTCACAGATTAGCGTGGGCCAGGACGGGCCCGATCTGCAGCTGCGGTCTGCTCCAGGCCGCCCAGTTCAGCCTCTTCTCAGCCTGGGATTTCTCCTTCCCTCCTCCGGAGAAGAAAGGGTGAGGCCAGGAGACAGCCGAGGGCAGCAGGAGAGGAGGGAGCCCGGGCGGGCAAGGTGAAGCCATGCCAGGGAGGCCGGCGTGGGCATATGGAGGGCAGCAGAGGCAGTAGCGGCCCGGGGAACAGCAGCTGAGTCCATAGAAAGCATATGGGTGGTAGTAGCCGAAGTTCACCGCCATCCTGGAAGGAAGAGGAGCAGGGACCAAAATTCACATTCGCAGGAAACAGGCCCGTGGTGGGACAGCTTTGTGTTTATATCTACAGTGGTCCCTTGGTTCTCAAACGCCTTGGTACACAAACAACTTGGAACCCAAACACTGCAAACCCGGAATTGGGAGTTCCGGTTTGCGAACGTTTTCGGAAGCCAAACGAGTTCTGTTTGAGTGTTACGCTTCCGATTTGAGTGCGACGCTGAGGTCTGTCTGTTTTTGCTATTTATTTTGAGTTTTTGCAGCTATTATTTTTCGTGACTGCGTGGAACCCAGTTCAGCTACTGATTGATTTGACTGTGTGACTGCAGTACATTGTTTATTGCTTTCATCTGATGGATCAATGGTCTCGTCAGACAGTAAACTTAATGTCAAGTTGCTGTTTTAGGGACTGTTTTTAGAAGCCTGGAATGGATTAATCCATTTTGCATTTGCATCACTTTCGATGGGAAAGCATGCCTTGGTTTTGGAACGGACTTCCAGAACGGATGAAGTTTGAGAACCAAGGTACCACTCTATTTATTTATACGCTATTTCATAGAAACATAGAATTGCCATCTGGTCCAAAGCTCTGCAATGCAGGAATCTTCTGCCCAATACGAACACCCTGAGATTAAGAGTTTCACTCTCTGCCTTTTCTCCGCAGATTGATAACAAAAGAGATTGATTGTTCCAGGTGGCCTACATCATTCTCCTTTCTCCTCAATTGAATTCCCCCAAACAACCCTGTGAGGTAGACTGGGCTGAGGGGGCAGTGACTGGCTTCCAAGTTCACCCAGGGAGTTTCATGGCCAATTGGGGATTTGAACCCTGTTCCTGTTCCGACCCTCTAACCTGGGGGTCAGCAAACTTTTTCAGCTGGGGGCCAGTCCACTGTCCCTCAGACCTTGTGGGGGACCGGACTATATTTTGAAAAAAGAAGAAGAAAAAAGAACAAATTCCTTTGCTCCACAACTAACCCAGAGATGCATTTTAAATAAAAGGACACATTCTACTCGTGTAAAAACACGCTGATTCCCAGACCGTCCGCAGGCCGGATTTAGAAGGCGATTGGGCTGGATCTGGCCCCGGGCCTTAGTTTGCCTACCCATGCTCTAACCACTATGCCACACTGCTATTTATAATAGTGGTTCCCAGGATTCTTTGGGAGAAAGCATGTGCTTTAAGCGTTACTGTGAATTAATGGTTATCTCCCACTTGGACTACTGCCATGCGCTCTACGTGGGGCTACCTTTGAAGGTGACTCAGAAACGACAACTGATCCAGAAGGCGGCAGCCAGACTGGTGACTGGGAGTGGCTGCCAAGACCACATAACACCAGTCCTAAAGGACCTACATTGGGTCCCAGTACGTTTCCGAGCACCATTCAAAGTGTTGGTGCTGACCTTTGAAGCCCTTAATGGCCTCAGTCCTGTACACCTGAAGGAGCGTCTCCACCCCATCGTCCAGCCCGAACTCTGAGGTCCAGCTCTGAGGGCTTTCTGGTGCTTCCCTTACTGAAAGAAGTGAAGTTACAGAGAACCAGACAGAGGGTCTTTTTGGTAGTGGTGCCCGCCCTGGGAATGCCCTCCCGTCAGATGTCAAGGAGACGAGTAACTATATAACCTTTAGAAGACACCTGAAGGCAGCCCTGTATAGAGAAACCTTTAAATGTTTAATGCATGGGTACGCAAACTATGGCCCGGGGGCCATATTCGGCCCAACTGCCTTCTAAATCCGGCCCACAGGCGGTCCAGGAATCAGCATGTTTTTACCTGAATAGAATATGTCCTTTTATTTAAAATGCATCTCTGGGTTAGTTGTGGGGCATAGGAATTCGTTCATTCCCCCCCCCCCGCCCTTCAAAATATAGTCCGGCCCCCCACAAGTTCTGAGGGACAGTGGACCGGCCCCCTGCTGAAAAAGTTTGCTGGCCCCTGCTTTAATGTTTTATTCTGTTTTTGTATATGTTGGAAGCCACCCAAGACGGACTGGGGCAACCCCGTCAGATGAATGGGGTACAAATAATATTATTATAAAATTATAATTAAAGAAGAACCGCCCGGGGCATATCCACAGCCCACATTTAAACACAGGACCTCCGCCCAAAGAATAATAGGAACCGTAGTTTCCCCTTCGCAGGGGTACAGTTCGCAGCATCCTTAACAAACGACAGATCCCAGGGATCTTTGCAGAAAGCTGCCTGTCATTCTGGACTCACAGCTGTCCATGGAGGCACAGGTAAGTTCTGTGTCCAGGGCAGCTGTTTATCAGCTCCACCTTGTACGCAGGATGAGACCCTCCCTGCCCGCAGACTGTCTCGCCAGAGTGGTGCATGCTCTAGTTATCTCTCACTTGGACTACTGCAATGCGCTCTCTGTGGGGCTCCCTTTGAAGGTGACCCGGAAACTACAACTAATCCAGAATGTGGCAGCCAGGCTGGTGACTGGGAGCGGCCACCGAGGCCATATAACACCAGTCCTGCAAGACCTACACTGGCTCCCAGTACGTTTCCAAGCACAAGTCAAAGTGTTGGTGCTGACCTTGAAAGCCCTAAATGGTCTCGGCCCAGTATACCTGAAGGAGCATCTCCACCTCCATCGTTCTGCCCGGACACTGAGGTCCAGCTCCGAGAGCCTTCTGGCGGTTCCCTTGCTGTGAGAAGCCAAGTTACAGGGAACCAGGCAGAGGGCCTTCTCGGTGGTGGCGCCCACCCTATGGAACACCCTCCCACCAGATGTCAAGGAGATAAGTAACTACCAAACTTTTAGAAGACATCTAAAGGCAGTCCTGTTTAGGGAAGCTTTTAATGTTTAATAGGTTATTGTATTTTAGTGTTTTGTTGGTAGGCGCCCAGAGTGGCTGGGGAAACCCAGCCAGATGGGCGGGGTATAAATAATAAATTATTATTAATATTATTATTTAAATGTCCTGTAAAGGCCGGGCAGTGGGCGGACACGACTCGGCCTCCGCTGGGCCACAAGCCCGTGTGATGACAGACCTTGGCGCCGGGACTGAATGGCCCTTGCCTTTTCCTTACCCAACCCCGAAGGGAGAAAGCAGAGCAGGATAGCAGGTCTTTCCTTTGGTTCTGAGGAGGTCAAGCTGAGGTCAGCCGGAGGGCTAAAGGTCTTATCCTTCCCATGGGCATTGGAGAGTTAATAGAGCCCATTAAAGGATAGGATGAGTAGGGCTCATTCTGCATATGGTGCATGGAGAACCGGGGGAAGGATAAATGGGGGATTTGTTTGGCGCAAGAGCATAGCTGTCAACTTACAGATTTGAAAATAAGGGACCAGCAGCCTCAGAAATAAGGGATCAGCAGCCAAAATAAGGTATTTTCAGAGCACAGGTATGTTCGACTTCTGAGCCCCTCCAAGCCAAAGGCAGAAAGCCCAGCCAGCAGCCAAACGAAGCCTCAAGCGGTGGTTCCCACAGCGCAGCAACCCGGCAAAGGGGATGCAGCAAGGAAAACCACCGTCACCTCTCCGCTGGGAAGCGCTGAGCAAAGGCGAGTCCCCAGGCAATGCGGCCGATTTGATTGGCACAAGGCATGCAAGCTCCACCCCCCCAGTCGTTCTTAGACTCCTTATTGGATGAGCAACGCAGCCAAGCAACACAGTTGGAGCCTCCCTCCTCCCTGGCCGGCAGGGAGGGAGGGAGAGGAGCTGCCTCCTTTGAAACCCGGGAAATTTAAGGGACATCATCAATAAGGGACAGCAGCGGGACACAGCACTGGGATAAGGGAGTTTCCCGCCAAATAAGGGACGGTTGACAGCTATGCGCAAGAGCAGCATCAAAGCCGCAGGGATGCCTCTCACCTGCGGATCCTTCGCCGCGCTCTCCGCCGGTGGTAATCTCCCTTGGAGAAGTCCTCCAGGTTGGCCGGGTGGATGGCCCAGTAATGGCCTTTGCCATTGTCGCTGCGGCCCGCTTTGATGAAGCACTCGTTCAACGACAGGTTGTGCCTCACGCTGTTGCGCCAACTCTTCTCCTGCACGTAAAAAAAAAAAAGGAAAAAGAGGGGTGTTGGGGGATCATTCAGTTTGCCACTGAAGGGTTAACTCTGCCGCCGGTAAAAACGGGGGTTGCCGGGGGGGCGGAGGTTTTGCTTAGGAACCAGGCAGAATGGCAGGAGGGAGTTCTGAGGGAGTTTCGCCTCTGTATGTTTGGCTGGACGTCTCCCTGCTATGAACAAGGCTTGGAATAGATAAAGCTAAAGGGACCCCTGACTGTTAGGTCCAGTCGTGACCGACTCTGGGGTTGCGGTGCTCATCTCGCTTTCTTGGCCGAGGGAGCCGGCGTACCGCTTCCGGGTCATGTGGCCAGCCTGACTAAGCCGCTTCTGGCGAACCAGAGCAGCGCATGGAAACGCCGTTTACCTTCCCGCCGGAGCGGTACCTATTTACAGTCATACCTTGGGTTGAATACGCTTCGAGTTGAGCACGTTCGAGTTGCGCTCCGCTGCAACCCGGAAGTAACAGAGCGTGTTACTTCCGGGTTTCGCCGCTTAGAATCATAGAATGGAATCATAGAGTTGGAATAGACCACAAGGGCCATCGAGTCCAACCCCCTGCCAAGCAGGAAACACCATCAGAGCACTCCTGACATATGGTTGTCAAGCCTCTGCTTAAAGACCTCCAAAGAAGGAGACTCCACCACACTCCTTGGCAGCAAATTCCACTGTCGAACAGCTCTTACTGTCAGGAAGTTCTTCCTAATGTTGAGGTGGAATCTTCTTTCTTGTAGTTTGGATCCATTGCTCCGTGTCCGCTTCTCTGGAGCAGCAGAAAACAACCTTTCTCCCTCCTCTATATGACATCCTTTTATATATTTGAACATGGCTATCATTTCACCCCTTAACCTCCTCTTCTCCAGGCTAAACATGCCCAGCTCCCTTAGCCGTTCCTCATAAGGCCTCGTTTCCAGGCCTTTGACCATTTTGGTTGCCCTCCTCTGGACACGTTCCAGTTTGTCAGTGTCCCTCTTGAACTGTGGTGCCCAGAACTGGACACAGTACTCCAGGTGAGGTCTGACCAGAGCAGAATACAGTGGCACTATTACTTCCCTTGATCTAGATGCTATACTCCTATTGATATACTCCTTGCGCGTATGCAGATGCTCAAAATGATGTCACGCATATGAAAAGCGACGCACACATGCGCAGACGTGCCGTCGCTAGTTACGTTTACCTCTAGGTGCGAACGGGGCTCCGGAACGGATCCCGTTCGTATCTAGAGGTACCACTGTATCTACTTGCACTTTGATGTGCTTTCGAACTGCTAGGTGGGCAGGAGCAGGGACCGAGCAACGGGAGCTCACCCCGTCGCAGGGATTCGAACCACCGACCTTCTGATTAGCAAGTCCTAGGCTCTGTGGTTTAACCCACAGCGCCACCCGCGTCCCTTTTAAGGCTTGGAATAAGAAAGACAAAGACCCCTTTGCTTATTTCTCCTCGGATGATGACACTGCTTTTGTTCAGCCGTCCTCAGTGAAGAGTTAGTTATAAGGATTTGTTTTTCTCTCTGGGTGCCGTCGATGTTATTGAAGTGACTTAGGCGGTTGGAGAAGGCCAAGGAAAAATTTCCGTTTGTGCAAGGCGTGACAGGGCCAAAGGCTTGCAGAAATGGCAGGGGCTATAGCTCTGGAACATGTGCAGCAATATTTAAAATGAGCCTAACCTCTGAGTATGTGCAGAGTGCTTCCCCTTTAAATTCATTTTGGGGTAGGACCTTTAACAAATTCTAGTTTGTCTACAAGCCCATTTTAGACCCTTTGGACCTTTGAGTTTAAAGATCGTAACTGGTTTTTTTTTTTTGGGGGGGGGGGAATAAATTAAACCATTTGCATTCCACTGTGTGCGTCTTCTGATTCTCCCCATGCCTTAATAATAATAATAATTTTTATTTATACCCCGCCCTCCCCAGCCAAGACCGGGCTCAGGGCGGCTTACAAACAGTAATAAAAACAAGTTGAATGATTACAACTTAAAAACAACATTAAAATAATGAAACATTAAAATATTAAAATGTAGCCTCATCGTAGGAGGAGAAGGAAAGGAAAAAAGAAAGAGAGGGAGGGAATCAAATTGGCTCCAAGCCAAAGGCCAGGCAGAACAACTCTGTCTTACACGCCCTGCGGAAAGAAATCAGATCCTGCAGGGATCTGGTCTCATGAGACAGAGCGTTCCACCAGGCCGGGGCCAGTGTTGAAAAGGCCCTGCCTCTGGTTGAGGCTAATCTGACTTCCTTAGGGCCAGGGACCACTAGGGTGTTGCTATTTATGGACCTTAAGGTCCTCCGTGGGGCATACTGGGTGAGGCGGTCCTTTAGTTTAGTCTTCTTAAGTATATTTTATTATTTAGCACAACAGCTTATAACATTCTGAAAGCTGGGGGGGGAGACTCGGCTGAGGATCGTTTGGATGAACTTGAATTGAACTGGCTTGGAATTGAACTAGTTAATTTTGTAAAGGGACCAGCATGAACTGGAACTGGTTCCTTTGGGGACCTGTTAAACCCAAACTTGAACTAGTTCCTTTGGGGAACTGCTAAACTTGAACTTGTGGTTCCTTTTTTTTTATTTGTTAAAGTGAACTTTGTATGTCTTCAATGCACAAAGCAATCATGCAATATCCAGGGCATTTTAGCAGATAAGCCATATCTAATCTTTTATTATTATTATTAACATTTTTAATTTATGTATCATAATTGTTACAAAATATAAGCAAAATATTGCAAATACATACATACAGTGGTACCTCGGGTTAAGTACCGGTACTTAATTCGTTCCGGAGGTCCGTTCTTAACCTGAAACTGTTCTTAACCTGAAGCACCACTTAGCTAATGGGGCCTCCTGTTGCCGCCGCGCCGACGGAGCACGATTTCTGTTCTCATCCTGAAGCAAAGTTCTAAACCCAAGGCACTATTTCTGGGTTAGTGGAGTCTGTAACCTGAAGCATATGTAATCTGAAGCGTATGTAACCCCAGGTACCACTGTACATACATACATATTTCAAATAAGCACATATATATGAAAAAAGGAACAAAAGAGGAAAAAAGAAGAAAATAAGAACAAATAAAGAGAAAAGAAGAAGAAAAGTTGGAAGAATTTCTTCCAAGTTTATTCTACAAACATCTCATGAAATATACTCAGAGTCGCAAAGTGATTTCATGCTCTTTATTCAGCTCATAGTGGTGAGGAGGAATGAATGAAAGTCCCCTCAAAGTATCTGCTTTATATACATTATTTACACAATGGGCTGCACATGATTGGCTAATTCTGGAATTCTACTGTAAGCCAATCAGGTTGTGGATTCACTTCTATCTGGAGCATGATTGGGTAGTTCCTGCCAACCAATCATACTGCTACATTGTTCTAGGACCAATCAGACTGCTGCATTCTGAAACCTATTGTTCTAGGACCAATCAGACTGCTGCAGTTTGGATCCTATTGTTCTAGGACCAATCAGACTGCTGCAGTTTGGATCCTATTCAACTCAGTACATAACATCTCAATACGAAAATAATAATAGAATAAAATTTCATTGATTGACTTCCATCGCTTCCATATCTAATCTAAATGCTTTGTGGTCTTGGGTATCATGTCTTTATGGTGTCTATTGAAGGCACCTCTGTTTCACTTGCATTTTGGGGACTGGCTGGCCACTTTGCTCTGACTTGGGTCATGAAGCTCACTGTGTGACCTTGTGTCAATCACTCTCAGGGCTAACCTTCCTCACAGGGCTGTTATGGGTGGTAAACGAGGAGGGAGAGAATCATGTTTCTCACCACCTTGAGCTCCATTGAGAATACAGTGGTACCTCGCAAGATGAATGCCTCGCAAGACAAAAAACTCGCTAGGCGAAAGGGTTTTTTGTTTTTTGAGCTGCTTCGCAAGACGATTTCCCCTATGGGCTTGCCTACGGAAACGTCTTGCAAGTTTGTTTCCTTTTTCTTAACACCGTTAATACAGTTGCGACTTGACTTCGAGGAGCAACTCATAGAACGCGGTGTGGTAGCCTTTTTTGAGGTTTTTAAAGACTTTGGTGATTTTTGAAGCTTTTCCAAAACTTTCCCGACACCGTGCTTCGCAAGACGAAAAAAACCACAAGACGACAAAACTCGCGGAACGAATTAATTTCGCCTTGCGAGGCACCACTGTAAAGGTGGGATGGAAGTGCAACAAACAGACAATTAAGCAACTAAAACATTGTGGGTGCAGGAGGGGTGGGTGGGTGGGTGGGAATGGAGAATCCAGACTAGGGAACGGCTGGCTGGCTGGCTGGCTGGCACCCTGAACAGAAGAACTCCAGACTGCAACATTTTGTTGCAGATCCCACTATTCAATGTAATGATTTAACCGATTTAATAAATAAACCATTCAATAACAATGTAATAAATAAAAAAACAAACGTCTGTCTTCAAGTCTTCAGCTGATTAACATTCTACGGCTTTTAAAATGTTCTTTGTGGGATTGGTTTGTTTTTGTTTATTATGTATTTTGTATTATCCTTTTGTATTTTTGTCTCTTGTGAACCGTCCTGGGATCTTCGGATGAAGGGCGGTATACGAATTTAATAAAACAAGCAAAAAAACAACCAACAATAATAGCCTAACTCCAAACCTTGTTTGCACAATCAGCCAATGTCTTTATTATCAATCAAAAACCTTGTTTACCGTATTTTTCGCTCCATAAGACGCACCAGACCACAAGGCGCACCTAGTGTTTGGAGGAGGAAAACAAGAAAAAAAATATCCTGAATCTCAGAAGCCAGAACAGCAAGAGGGATCGCTGCGCAGCGAAAGCAGCGATCCCTCATGCTGTTCTGGCTTCTGGGATAGCTGCGCAGCCTGCATTCGCTCCATAAGACGCACACACATTTCCCCTTACTTTTTAGGAGGGAAAAAGTGAGTCTTATAGAGCAAAAAATACGGTATTTACTTTAATCTGATTTTTACTTGTTGGAAGTAGCATGCATGTATTAGTCCCCTATATACCCTCTAAACTTCCCGCAGGCAACTGTTTGGTGGCAACTGAGATAAATCGGTGGCGAGCTTTTGGTTTACCAGCCACTTGAAGCTTCATCGCCAACTCTCGAAATATTACTAATGATACCCTGTTCCCCAAGGTCAACTTGTTGCGGTCCTTGGGTCATTAGAGTGGCCCCAGAACTTGCCATGTTTAAAGCCATGGTTTTCCCAGTAGTGATGTATGGAAGTGAGAGCTGGACCATAAAGAAGGCTGATGGCCGAAGAATTGATGCTTTTGAATTCTGGTGCTGGAGGAGACTCTTGAGAGTCCCATGGACTGCAAGAAGATCAAACCTCTCCATTCTGAAGGAAATCAGCCCTGAGTGCTCACTGGAAGGACAGATCGTGAAGCTGAGGCTCCAAGACTTTGGCCACCTCATGAGAAGAGAAGACTCCCTGGAAAAGACCCTGATGTTGGGAAAGATGGAGGGCGCAAGGAGAAGGGGACGACAGAGGACAAGATGGCTGGACAGTGTTCTCGAAGCTACAAACATGAGTCTGACCAAACTGCGGGAGGCAGTGGAAGACAGGAGGGCCTGGCTTGCTCTGGTCCAGGGGGTCATGAAGAGGCGGACACGACTAAACGACTAAACAGCAACAACAGAACTTGCCGCGGTCTGGCGAGACTTAATGGAGGCAGACATATCTGTCAGTTTTTGTTTCTTTCAGTTTCTAATCCCCTCCTACTCTTGAATTCTGCAGCCATTTCCAAGAATAAAGTCCTCAGGAAAATCCGTTAACATTTCAGTGCAAATTTCTCCAAACGAACAACATTCTTGGATGCTGTTTAGACTGTTGTACAAACATTTGAAAGCAGCTCCCCCTAATATAATGCATCTTTGAGTGTTATTTTCATGAATGTACGCACCCATTTCTCTAAGGCATGTCTCTTTGCACCACGGAATCTGGAGAAGCACGGATTTCAAAGGATAACTCTGTTTCGGCTCAAAAAAGGTGGGAGTTTTGTAGTTGTTTGTTAAATTGCAGACGGAATCAACTTTCTCCCCGCAAGCCTAGCAAAGGGATGCTCTCTAGACTTAATGTTTGCAAGTCAGAAGTTCAAAAAACCAAGTAGATAGAAAATTTGTACCCTCTGCAGGAGAGCTGTTTGAGAGTTACGGCTGTTTGGCAGGAATCGCCTATAATGTTTTGAGCTTCTGTCCCGAGCCCTAGGGATTTCTGCTGAGATATCCCCAGACAGAGTGAGAAGAGAACTGGGTGTTAAAAAGGCCAAGAAACTGTGTCACTGGTGTCCAACGTCCCAGTCTCGTGAAAAGGATGGCCACCTATGTATCGCCAAAAGGGAGGGGGAAAGAGGGTGCTGATTTGCATATATTTTGCATGCTATATGCATGGGGCACATTTGGAAATAAGAACTCGAAATGGAAAAGGGTGAATTGGGTGGAATCCAGTGCTATTAGGTCCGTTGAAATCAATGAACATGACTAATCTAGATCCATTAATTTCAGCAGGACTAGTGTTGCATACAGCGCCGGATTTAAGTGTAAGCTAAACAAGCTATAGTTTAGGGCCCCACTCTCTTGGGGGGTCCCCAAAAATATACTTCTTCTTAATTATATTTCACTATTAATATACTTCTTCTTAATTGTATTTCAGTTCAACAATTACTTTGATAAAATACATATTTTGTTAGGTGCAAATGGCTTGAGACGCCTATGAGGTCCATAAATTACCATATAGCATATATTCAACACACAAAAAACAGCGACAATTTGTTGTTGACAAAGGACAGCTGGACATATAAAGGGCCCCATTACCTTCAGTAGCTTAGGGCCTCATCAAACCGAAATCCGGCCCCGGTTGGCTACAACCCATTAAATCTCGTCATAATTCAGGGGATGGTAACTAGATCATTTGTATGCTTCCTCCGCCTTCTGCCTAACTGTCAATGGACCACTTCATGAACCTTAGAAGTTTTTTATCTCTTAACTGGACTGGAATGGGACAGCCTTTCCTCTTCAGACAGAGGACTGTTCTCGGAGACCTGCCAACTAGCAGGACTGTATAAGGCAAGGGCCGCAATTCGGTGGTAGAACTACTTTGCATGCAGAAGGTCCCACCTTCAATCGTCAGCAGGTACGGTTCCAGCCCGAAAACCAAGCACCATGGACAATAGGGTCCTATGACTCTCGGCCACTGTACCCTGGAAGAAACCAGCTATGTCCTCGCCCAACAAGTTGGCTTGCTCAATGGACTAGGGCCCTAGGTTGGGCGAGTCTAGAAGGTAGTTCAAGGCGCCAAGGTGAGGACCCATGTTCACCAGGGCACCTGTTGGTGGAACTCACCTTGTTTTTGAAGTACGGGTATTTATCCATAATCCACTGGTAGATATCGGACAGCAAAAGCTTCTTCTCCGGCGAGGAGAGGATGGCAGTCGAAATGAGGGCGATGTAAGACTGGTTGGGTTTGTCCAGGAGATCTGGAGGTGCGTGAGGTCCAGGTTGCTCTGTCTCTGCGACGCCTCTCCCTTCTGCCCTCGCTTGTTCGCCCCTTGGTTCTGGGTCCCTGCGAGGTGGTTTCCTGTTCTCGAAAAGGAGGTAGTCAATGGTGAAGGAGACGCTAGGCTTCCTCTGTACCTCTGCCTCTGCTCTTTCCATGGCGGACGCAACTTGGGGTGCCCTTGATCTCAGCTCATCTTCGCCGGTCCTGGAAGTCCAGCCAAGGTCCAGGAGCTGCGTTGGGGCAGCGGCGGAAACAGAAGTGTCTCCCGAGGGCTGGGCTTGTAATTAGTGCAGATTACAGGGTTTGCTAATTGTGTTTTCACAAACGGGCTGCCTCCGCAAAGCAGCCTGTTTATCTGGCAAAGACTTAGCTTTAGCAGGATTTGGCCTCTAAGCCTAATAAATACATTGATTAATCCGCTCGGGATACAGGAATTCTGAGCTGGGTTTACCCACAGGTTGGCGGCAGCTGGAGGAGACGGGGGGGGGGGGCGGTCAGGGAGGGGGGTCACAGGAGGGTCTAGGAAAACAAAAGAGGAACTGTTTTTATTTCATTTCATTAGGATTTTTGTTTTCGCTTTAATCCTGCCCTTGTGCATCTGGCCCAGTATACCTGAAGGAGCATCTCTACCCACATCGTTCTGCCTGGACGCTGAGGTCCAACGCCAGGGCCTTCTGGGGGGTTCCCTCATTGCGAGAAGCTAAGCTACAGGGAACCAGGCAGAGGGCCTTCTCGGTAGTGGCCCTGTGGAACGCCGTCCCATCAGATGTCAAGGAAATAAGCAGCTATCCTATTTTTAAAATACATCTGAAGGCAGCCCTGTTCAGGGAAGTTTTTAATGTGTGACATTTTGGTGTATTTTTGGTCTTTGTTGGAAGCCGCCCAGAGTGGCTGGGGAAACCCAGCCAGATGGGCGGTGTACAAATAATAAATTATTAGTATAGCTAAGGAGTAATTCCTAAAATATATCGGAGCAAATTCCAAATTCAGGAAAATAAGAGGCTGCCGCAGAAATTGAAGCTGCACAGAACAGGAATGCAGAAAGCTGTCCTACATCACGTTCCTCTAGCGTGGCTACGCCTTGTCTCCAGGTGTTTCTGAACTACAGTTCCCATCATCCCTGACCACTGGTCCTGCTCGCTAGGGATGATGGGAGTTGTTGTCCCAAAACAGCTGGAGGGCCAAGTTTGGGAGCGCCAGGTCCAAAGGCTATTCAACAGGAAATAAGGATTTGTTTTAAGTTTTTCATGTGTGCTAAAACTCAGTTAACAAACACGGATACATATGCTATAATGTTATTTATTCATTTTTAGTTAAATAAATTGTTTAAATTGTTATTAAGGAAAAAACTTTCTCCTTCCAATAAAGTACAGCAGAAAAATTGCCCAAATATTAACAGTCAAGTTTGGGGAACCCTGCCCTAGGGTTTCAGGGGGATTTCCCCAGGCCCAGGGGCGTTCCGAGGTGGGGGCGAGGGGGCGGTCCGACCTAGGTGCCATTCCAAAGGGGGTGACAAAATGCCGACCCCGATCAGCGGCGCACCCCCTGGGACACACGCCACACCTCCTGCGATGAGTGCGACGCCCCCTGGGACGCAAGTCATGCCCCCTGGGACACGCGCCACACCTCCTGCGATGAGTGCCACGCCCCTGGGCCACACGCCACACCTCCTGTGATGAGTGCCACGCCCCTGGGACACATGCCACACCTCCTGCGATGAGTGCCACGCCCCTGGGACACGTGCCACACCTCCTGCGATGAGTGCCACGCCCCTGGGACACGTGCCACACCTCCTGCGATGAGTGCCACGCCCCTGGGACACACGCCACACCTCCTGTTATGAGTGCCACGCCCCTGGGACATACACCACATCTCCTGCGATGAGTGCCATGCCCCTGGGACACACGTCACACCTCCTGCGATGAGTGCCACGCCCCTGGGACACACGCCACACCTCCTGCGATGAGTGCCACGCCCCTGGGACACGTGCCACACCTCCTGCGATGAGTGCCACGCCCCTGGGACACGCACCACACCTCCTGCGGTGAGTGCCACGCCCCTGGGACACGCGCCACACCTCCTGCGATGAGTGCCACGCCCCTGGGGCGAGTGCCACGCCCTTGGGATGCACGCCACGCCACCTGCAATGAGCGCCATGCCCCCTGGGACAAGCACCGTTCCAGGTTGCTTCGCCTCTGCCCAGGTCTACCTGGAGATTCTGGGAATTTAACTGGGGGGTCTCCTGTATGTAGAACAGATGTTCCGCCACTGCTTTTTGCTCCCTCTCCGAACAAAAAGGTAAGCTCCAGTCCTCTTAGACCTGAATAAAGGTCTCAGTTAGAAAAAAAAGAACTTGGGAAGCTGCCTTATACCGAAACTGACCCCTGTGCCCTTGTGGTCACGTCCTACTTGTTGGTTTTCCATAAGGGCCATTTGTTTGGTCACGGTAAGAACAAGTTGCTGGACAAGATGGACCATTGGCTTGATCCAGGAGGCTCTTGTGTTCTTTCTTTTAACATGTGTAACCCCGTCTTTTGGCCTCAAAGTCTCCCAGAGCTGCTTGTGGCGACGTCAATAAAAACTGCTAAAACCCCCCACAAAATCAGCTGAGTGATTGGGTAAGACTATGGAAAGAAGGCTTAAAATTTACGGCATGCAGTGCCCTAAAAGAAAATGTGATGGAAATGATATATAGATAGTATATTACACCCGTCAAATTAGCGAAAAGGTATAAAGTTAATAATAAATGTTGGAAATGTAAAGAAAAAGAGGGAACATTTTATCACATGTGGTGGGAATGTAAGAAGGTGAAAAGCTTCTGGGAGATGATATATAATGAGATGAAAAAAATATTGAAATATACATTCATAAAGAAACCAGAAGATTTTTAACTGGAAATTGTTGGGAGTGATATAAACAGAAAGGAATGTAAGCTTTTTGTATATGCAATAACAGTAGCAAGAATATTATTGGCCCAAAAATGGAAGCAAGAAGAATTACCGACGATCCAAGAATGGAGGATGAAGTTAATGGACTATGCAGAATTAGATAAATTAACAGGAAGGATTCGAAACCGGTGGGACCAGAAATTCACGGAAGACTGGAGTAAATTTACGGACTATTTGAAAAGTATTTGTGAAGACCAGACGATGTTTGTAGGTTTGCAAGACGCTTTGTGAGGAGTATTATTGGAATTATTGCAAAAATGTATAAGGAGAAGGATGATTTGTTAAAAGATTTAAAGGCAATATAAAGTTAAGAAATGCATAAGAAGTGGTTAAAACGGTGGATCATCAGAGGTGCTGATGGAAGTCTAAAAAGATTGTATAAGTTTTAAGTTTTGTGGTACGTTTTATAATTTATATGTTAAAATCAATAAAAATTATATATATAAAAAAAGGAAGTCTGTTCTAAAACCAAAGCGTTCCAAAACCAAAGCAAGCTTTTCCATAGAAAGTAATGCAAAATGGATTAATCTGTTCTGGACTTTTAAAAACAACCCCTAAAACAGCAATTTAACATGAATTTTACCACCTAACGAGACCACTGATCCCTAAAATGAAAGCAATAAACAATGTACTGCAGTCACATAATCAATCCATCAATAGCTGGACTGGGTTACACACAGTCAAAAAAGGAAAATGAAAAAGAGCCGCAAAAACAGAAATGCAAAATAAATAGCAAAAACAGACAAACCTCAGCGTAACACTCAAAACGGAGCATGTTCAGCTTCTGAAAAAAATTGGCAAACCAGAACACTTACTTGTGGGTTTGCAGTGTTTGTCAGTCTCAGTCTCAGTCAGTTTTATTGCACATAGCCAAAGGCTGCCGCAATGTACACAGAATTATTTGACAAAAGAAAATATACTGAATTGGTAAAAAAAAGACTTAAAACATTTATATTATTAAAACATTACGTACTCTAAACAAAGCTATAAAAGTACCCCAATGTACAAATAAAAAACTTGGGTTCCAAGTTGTTTGAGTATCAAGGCATTTGAGAACCAAGGTACCACTGTATAGACTCTTTTAAGCTTAAATCACAATTGTTGGGGGAAGTAAGTCAAACAATGTGTGAGTGTGTTTTGGTGTTTTCTAAACCTACGTAAGTACCGTATTTTTCGCCCTATAGGACGCACTTTTCCCCCTCCAAAAATGAAGGGGAAATCTGTGTGCGTCCTATGGGGCGAATACAGGCTTTCGCTGAAGCTTGGAGAGCGAGAGGGGTCGGTGCGCACTGACCCCTCTCGCTCTCCAGGCTTCAGGAAGCTATCCGCAAGCCTGGGGAGCCCGCGGGAGTTCCCGCAGGGCTCCCTCGGCTGCGGATAGCAGCCTGCCGCCCGGCGCGCCCTGAAGCAGAGCGTCCCTCGCGCCGGGCAGACATCGGCCAGCCCCACAAGCTCGGGGGACAGTGGGGAGGCGCAGCGCCGCCATCCCGCTGTTCCTCGACCTGGTTTTTGGGGGGAAATAAGGGGAATTTCCCCCCCCCTTTATTTCCCCCCAAAAAAACTAGGTGCGTCCTATGGGACGGAGCGTCCTATGGGACGAAAAATACGGTATATTTTATAATTCAGCACAGCGGCTGATAATTGTTTGGATGAACTAGTTCATTTGTAAAGGGATGAACGTGACCGACACTTACCGTATTTTTTGCTCTATAAGACTCACTTTTTCCCTCCTAAAAAGTAAGGGGAAATGTGTGTGCGTCTTAAGGAGCGAATGCAGGCTGCACAGCTATCCCAGAAGCCAGAACAGGAAGAGGGATTGCTGCTTTCACTGCACAGCGATCCCTCTTGCTGTTCTGGCTTCTGAGATTCAGAATATTTTTTTTTCTTCTTTTCCTCCTCCAAAAACTAGGTGCGTCTTGTGGTCTGGTGCGTCTTATAGAGCGAAAAATACGGTAGTTCTTTATTGGAAACTTGGAATGTGCAGCTAGGGTTGCCATACGTCTGGGAAAATCCGGACGTATCGGAAGTGGCAATTTTGGCGATTTATATGAATAAAAAGCTCTAAAAGCTCAACAACTTTTTGGTCTGGATTTTCACTTTCTGATATATGGCAACCGTATGTCCAACTCGTTTCCTTTTTTCGAACGAGCTTCCCAGGCTCTGGGCTTCCAATGAGCTCAAGGCGGCATCCTTCAAGCCAAAATCTG